TGACTTTTTATCTCATAATTATGACTTTTTATCTCATAATTATGACTTTTTTATCTCATAATAATGACTTTTTATCTCATAATTATGACTTTTTTTTTTTTTTCCACTGGCGGAAACGGGCTTCCATACAGAACAGGTTCGGACATGCTCTGTTGTTGTTTGATTTCACTATAAAGTGATTTTCTGTACGATTTCTCTGGACTCCATTAGTTCTGGCTGCAGCTCGCGCGGGTCGCCTCACAGATCGTTTATTTTGCATGATGGCCCACTGGGTAGTTAGAAAAAGAGACAAAACTGTCACACGGACATAACTTTGCTATTACGCTGGTGAAACAAACAAACTAAAGCAGATATAAAACACTAAAAATTACACGTAAAAGTTTAAATCAAAACCAGAGATTGTTCATATGGGAACCAGAAAATCCCTGGTTTTGTTGGGTTTTCAGGTATATTTTTGTGGAGTCACAACTTTAGTTTTAAATTTGTGAAGTTAATTTCCATAACTATTAATATTGATAATATTTACCACAGTCAGTGTGGTGGAAAATATTATTTACATCCATGTATGACCAGATAGCTTGCACACAAGGAATTTGTTTTGGTAGCTGAGACCCCCAAAAAGTTAGTTAGACAAGAAATACAGGGAATGAAATACAAATACGGGAAATACTAATATAAATACAGGATGCATAAAGATAAAGATAAACTTTATGGATCCCATGGTGGGGAAAAGTTCGTCGTTACAACAGCTCCAAAAGAAAACGTGTGCAGTCAGTGCAAGAATAATTTAGAAACACAGTGCAAACTGTAAGAAACAGAAACACAAGACTACAAGATGAGCTGGTAACAGTTATTGCACATAGTGGGATGGGTTTGTTGGTGGACAAAGTGCAGCAGTAATAGAGCCGATAGTGGAGATTATAATGCAGCGTTGTCAAGTCTGACGGATGTTGGAATAAAGGACCTTCTTACACTTTGGGTGTCAGTGAACGCACTGCTTAAGGAGTTCACAGTCTGATGCAGAGGATGGAAGAGCCTGTGATAAAGCAGTAGGTGCAAAGGTGTCGATATTTCCAGATTCTGTGAATGTAACAGTGAGCAGACCTCAATATTTACACTGGAAGGAGACAGATTTTAATATAAAGCTCTGTGAATGTGCACATCATGACTGCTGGATCCAGCATTAACCACATTTCTGTATCCCTCTTATATATTCTTGTAAATTTTGTTGACTTTTTTCTATATTATATTTTCTAGATTTTTATCTTATTTTATTTTTTATTTTACCTTCATTTTATACCCTACCACAATATTCTGTGTTGTCTTTTTGCTCTTGTTTACCCCCTTTGTTACCTGGATTCCCCTCTGGGCTTAATAAAGCCTACAATCAGTTTTTGATTAATTTATTTTTGGACCCTGTAAACATGTCAGAGTGAGACCTCTTCCCCCTCCTCCTCCCCCTCCCCTCTCTGCGGCGCCGTCCACAGCAGGCACGCGGGCTCCGCTGCTCCTCGGCTCGCGCGCTGCTGATTGTTGTGGCTCCTCGCTCGTCCCGACAAAAGTTGTGTTCGCCGTCAGCTCGCTTCGTCGCGCCTTCAGAACCACCGAACCATGGCAGACTCCCAGGAGGACAAGCTGTACCGGGCCGAGTACGCCAAAAGCGGCCGGGCCTCGTGCAAGAAATGCAAAGAGAACATCGCCAAAGACTCGCTGAGGATGGCCATCATGGTGCAGGTCGGTAGCCGCCGGTGCTCCGGAGGGCAGGCTGCTCCGCTAGCTAGCTCACCAACACTGCGCCGCTTTCTCTGTTTAGTGCACCTTTACTGCGCAAATACGGTGAATATGTATGAGCAGAGCGGAGGGCGAGCCGGTGGGGTTCGTAGCGGGGCTCTGGTTGTGCTAATCGAGGCCCTTGTTAGCATGTGAATGGCTGACGTTGTTGAATGTTGTCCACAAAGAGCCGCTGAGCCTCAGTGATGCACCGTGTTGTTCCTGGAAACAGAAAATAAAGAGCTTCCCCGATCATGTGCATGACGCGTTTTGGAGTCGTGCAGATGATCTCAGCCTCAGGGGGCAGAAATCACAGCAGACTGTAAGATGTGCTGCTGCTGCTGCTGCCCCACAGAGAGGTAATTAATTAAGCCTAAGAAACCTGCTTATGTCGCTGCACCAGGTCCTGACTCACGGCCTGTGGAGCAGCTCCAGACCATTTAAAGGCCAGGACCCTGAGCCAGCAGCAGTGAGATGAAGGTTCAGCTGGTGATAACAATTTAATGCATATTGAAAGAAGCCATATTTATCAAATGCATGGAGAAGCTGTGTTTGATTCCAACTTAACACAGTGAGATCATGTGTTTGCGTCCCAGACTTGCTGTGTGGCCTGTAGAGCAGCTTGTTCATAACTTTTATAATAAAGGGAAGCGCTGTGGTGCAATCAAGTCAGATTTTCTAGATGTAGGGGCACTTCCATCGATTTTAAAGAAGTGCAAAACAAAAATTGTGACTCACACTTTAACCGCATTAGCTCTGAAAACATCCAGGTCAGAGTCGTTTCCGCATGTCGCTCAGTCCTATTACCCATCATACTTATTAAAAACAACAGCATTTGTCAGAAAAGAGCAGAACTTCTTGGGTATAATGTGCAAAATGGTTTAGTCACCTCTCCTGATCACGGCTATTGAATGATTCCCCTTCAGAGAGTCGAAGGCTGTTAGAATATAAAGTGTAGGCCTTAAAACCACATCTAACAGGGACGATTATATAAAAATATAAACCTTTTCAAAGGCCAGGCTTGTATATAACAAATAGGGAATGTTTCTCCTTGCATGACATAATAATTACATTCATCTGCAGGTTTTCTTCACACACACACACTGAATCTTCCTCGTTTGTTTCAGTCGCCCATGTTCGATGGGAAGGTCCCCCACTGGCACCACTTCTCCTGCTTCTGGCAGCGAGCAGCAGCTCAGTCCACCGCTGACATCGCTGGATATTCTGACCTCCGCTGGGAGGACCAGGAAAAGGTCAAGAAGGCCATTGAGAGCGGCGGGGCTGCAGGAGGTCAGTGCTGGACTGCAGGGCTTCGACTGAGCCTTTGTGTGCAAAGTGTTTCCTGCATGGAGGAATTTTGAGAAAATAACCAGCACCAAAGTGAAAAGAAGTAAAAATAGTTCCCTTTTAGCCCATTTTGTTAACTTTTATTCGAGCATGATTGTCGTTTTTGTTATCATGTGGTCAGAAATGACAGGAAATTTGTTGCTCCGTCCAATAAGGTACCACAGACTCACTGGCTTCTCTGTGTGTGCACATTGCATCCTCCCCTAAAGGCCCGTTGTGAGACAGGAAAGCCCGACTACAGTCCCTTTATGGGAGCTGTTGAGCAAATTAATTAGTTTAATGTCATGTCAAGCTGCTGAGTTATCACAAGCAAACATTGCATCTTATATCCTCTATTCATAAACAGAGGCGCGGCCAGTTCAACAGTTATTTAATGATTTGGTCAACATTGCTTTGTAGAGACACACATCATCATCATCCATCAGTACGGTGCAGCAGCAAATAAGCACAATCATAAAGCAACTCTTCCACATTCTGATTGTCTGTATAGTGAGAGACAGAGGTCATTAAATGTCCAGTTGTGAGGATTTATCAGTGGAAAATCAGTAAACAAAGAGTCTCCTGGTGCAGCTTAATTGGAGCTGAATCTAATCATACTTTTATAACTGGTTATCAAATCAATCACGTAAATCATTCCTTAAACTAATATGCTATCAGCGACCTGATAGCCAAATAGGCAGCACACCACATTGCCTGAGTTCGACTTCCTGGTTCGAATCCCGACTGATCAAACCACTTGCTGCACATCTACTGTAGCATTTATTAGCCAGACTGGATATGCGTCGCAGACATCCTCAATTCAGTTCCTCCTCGTCACAGATAACCTGTCAAACATCCAACACATGACGCTACCTTCACTGTTCGTGTGAATTGAGTTTCTCTCTTACAGATAATTATAAATATCTGGCACAAAAAGGCCTGAAAACAAATTTAAAACTGTCAAATATCCAGATATCCCCTAGTTTAGCTTCTTAGTGTTGTTGATTTGCTGTATGTTTGTACTCTCTGGTCTTGTTTGCTATTATGAATATTTGTCATTTTGAGGTCAACTGGTAAAATTCCTTCTTGTAGGAAAAGGGGACCAGAAGAGTGGAGCCAAAGGAGAGAAGACGCTGAATGACTTTGCGGTGGAATATGCCAAGTCAAACCGCAGCACGTGCAAAGGCTGTGAGCAGAAAATAGAAAAGGTCCGTAGCCTCTTCGACCACATTGTTGAAATTTAATAGTAACCGAATATTATCAGTGTAATCGTCTGTTTAATAAATACTCGATGTGTGTGTGACCCTCTGGCTTTCCCTTTCAGGATCAAATCCGCGTGTCCAAGAAAACTGTGGACCCCGAGAAGCCCCAGCTGGGTCTGATCGACCGCTGGTACCACACGGCGTGCTTCGTGAGCCGCAGGGAGGAGCTGGTCTTCAAGCCCGAATACAACGCGGCTCAGCTGAAGGGCTTCAACGCACTGCGGGCCGAGGACAAGGAAGAGCTTAAGAAGAGGCTTCCTGCTGTCAAATCTGAAGGGTGAGACAAAGTTTGAGATCATTTTTGCAGGTGTGAGTGAAGCGATTAGACGGAACCGAGCTGTTTTTGTCAGGTCTGGTGTTCGTCTCGGGCGCCTGTTCCATCTCTATCCTCGGCCTCTCTGTCCGTTACTGTCCTGCAGCACATAAAAATCGCCTTAAAAGTGTCCCTGAAAGCGGTCATGGTGTACGCGTACAGGAAGGGGTTGACGGCAGAGTTTGCATGCGACAGGATGATGGCGGTGAGCAGCAGCTCCAGCGGCACAAAGCAGCGTGGGCACAGCAGCAGGAAACAGTTGATGATGTGAAGCGGGATCCAGCAGATGGTGAAGAGGAAGAGAACCAAAAACAGAGACGTCGCCGTCTTCATCTCTCGGCGCATGCTGGCGGCGGTCCTCGCCGGTCCCTCCCCTCTGCCGCTTCGCTCAGACGCGATGCGCCGCACCTGCCGCTTGACCGTGACGAAGATCTGGGCGTAGATGAGGAACATGATCACCAGGGGAGCGAGCACACAGGCAAAGAAGTTGAAATAGACCATGTAAGTCATGTCCACCACCAGCACGAAGAAGCAGTGGCCGGAGTCGGGCGGCGTCTTGTGCCAGCCCATCAGAGGGACGATCCCGATCAGAAAGGCCAGCAGCCATGTGGCGAGGATCACCAGCACGGCGTTGCGAGGCCTCATCAGGACGTGGTAACGGAAGGGCATGAAGATGGCGACGTAGCGCTCCACAGCCACTGCCAGCAGGCTGAAGATGGAGCTCTGAGTGAACATGATCAGAACGCTGAGCATGAGCAGACACAGGTAGAAGCTGTGGCGCGGCAAACCGACGTCTGTCAGGATGGCGCAGGGGATGGCGATGGCGCCCACGCAGACGTCGGCGACCGCGAGCGACACCAGGAAGTAGTTGGTGACGGTGCGCAGTTTGCGGTTGAGGCCCACCGCGGCGCAGACCAGCGAGTTGCCGGTTATGGAGAAAAAAGCGATGACGAGCTCCGCCGCCATGTACGCTTTGTTCGGGGAGATCACCGGGTCAGCCGGAGCAGAGGAAGGAGAAGGAGAAGAGAAAGAGGAGGAGGAGTTGGAGAAAGAGGCAGACGAAAACTCCCGAGAAGAAGAGGAAGGATGGTGGGATGAGCTGCTAGTTTGTTGGAAGATGTTCAACAGCTCAGCAGCGCTCTCCATCGTCGGACCTACGAAGAGAAACAACATTCGAGTCGAGATGAAGTGCAGCAGTAAAATGCATCACAGCAGTGAAATCACTCACCAGTCCACAGCCGCAAGTGTTTGTTATTCAAGAATCTAATGAGTCCATCAGCGTCCTGACAGGAAGCATCAAGGCCGATACTAAAATCTAGACGATCCTGTTTTATAAATCCTCCTCCTTCCCCCCTTTGACGTCAGCTGTTATCTGATAAAAGAAGCGTTTTTGTTTTGTTTTTCTTAATGCGGACACAGATCAGACTAGACTGAGCGCTCCTGCATGGTCATTAGCTGTGTCTGGTCTCGTGGGGGGAGCCGGTACATTATTCTTGTCAGGGCAGAGTGCACGATGCCATCACTGACGCCCGGGACTGTGCCGACCTGCCCCGGCTTGTGTTTGTGGATGTCCATTAACTGATGGGGCCCAAATGAATTAGCTTAATGAATAAAGGTGTCAGATTCCGACTTGTTTGTTCCTCATCCTGCCAGTCGTCCTGTGTCCCTGCGCGCCTCATTTAGGAAGTTAATTTGGATGTGTTTTGTTTTGTTTCACCTTCTGTCTTAGTAGAAAAAACAAAGTGGTGGAAGAGAGTTTTTCCTGAACTTGTGTTTGTGTTTGCAGGAAGCGTAAAGGGGACGACGTGGACGGACTGTCGAAGAAACAGAAGAAAGAGGAAGAAGATGAGAAGAAAAAACTGGAGGAGCAGCTGAAGGTACTTTCATTCCTTTTTATCTCACTGTTTGGAGTAAACACCGGGGCTCTCGGTTAACTGAACTCATACATGCTCATCAACCAGCCGATGGAGAAACAAAAAGTCACGTCCAGAATAAATAAATCAGCCACAGTGTGCTGAGTGGAGTCAACCTGCTGCCTTATGAGAGCAAAGGACTTACAGATAAAAACTATTGAGTCATTTAAACTCATTATTTTTACCCACACATCCAGATTGCATTTGCTTATATTCATATGAATTCTGAAAATGCGATATATATCTATATAACTATATCAACTGGTGCTCACAGCCCGAGAACTTTTGAGAAACATAAAGCTGTCATTTAGCCTACCGATGTGTTATGTGATATGATAAATGATATGTGATGTGATATATGATCAGTGTGACCGGGATGCGAACACAAAGTCTGGACGCTGCCGTCCACGTGTTAAAACAGGAAGCCAGTGAGAGCTTCAGCGGGAATTAAAGCTTCATCTCAAATTATCACAATTCTGGAACAATTTCTCAGATTTTCCTGAGATTTTGATGACGTAAAGTGTGGATATTTCTGAAGATATTGAAAAACTTTTTTTTTTTTTTTTTTTGATATTTCAAATACTTTGAGGTTTTCTTTTTTAAATTTGAATCTGTTTGAACAACATCATCTCAGCAACTATTGAAGCTAAAAGCCTAAAATTTCCAATGTTGTTTCTCATCACATCCTTAAATCAAAGTCTATATATGATATGGTATATGATTATATATGATATGATATGTATGATATATGATGTGATGTATGAAATGATGATATGTGATATATATGATAGATTGTCTGTTGAGCTGTGATATCCAAACTGCTGTAATGTTTGCTCAACTTTTGGTTGTTTGAGTAAACAGATGCCCAAAAACGAAGGCAAATGACTTCTTCAAGTCAGTATCAGTTAGTTTGGAGCTGAGTCCGAGATAACATTCAGGAAACGTTAGATCATGTAAACCCAGCAGTCTTGGTTTAACAAGTTCAACGTTATGAAAACGTAGCAGTGTTCACAGGTTGTCTAAATTCATCCTGAAAGGCTGTCGAAGTGGCACTTTTCTGCTTATCGAGGTAAAACAAGATGATCCGACTAAAAAAAAAAAAAAGTACTATTGAATGAGAGCGAATCAGTCGATCGATCTAGAGACCGCAGCAAGCATCGGGAGTGTTTGGTGACCGTGTTGTTAATACGTTGCCCTGATGTTGTGTGTCGTGACTGCTTGTGTCCGCAGAGCCAAAGCCAGCTGATTTGGGGACTGAAGGACAAACTGCGGAAATATTGTTCAACCAACGACATGAAAGAGCTGCTGATTGCAAATAGACAGGAAGTTCCCTCCGGAGAATCCAATGTAAGAAAACCTCATCTCGTATCATTTTTATGCAGCTCTTAACACGAAAACTCACCTGAAATTGAGTTTTCTTTTATATTTGTTGCATCTGATTCTAAGTTTTCTGAGATCACATGTTCAGATTAGTGCTGTAAAGGAGCAAAATGTGCCTCATGCAGCGTTCAAGTCTGTTCAGTACTTCATCACAATATACGGACATGAATCGTATCACTAACAATATTTTTATTTACTCCCCATAAATTTAGTTTTTGTTGTTGTGTATATGTAACACTATATTTACATGACAGTTGAAGGCTTTGTAGCTGTTCAGAGTGTCGTGACGCATGTTGTTTAATTGACAGGTGGTGGACAGCCTGGCAGACGGCATGGCCTTTGGTGCTCTGGAGCCCTGCAAGGAGTGCCAGGGCCAGCTGGTGTTTAAGGGCGATGCCTATTACTGTAAAGGAGACATTTCAGCCTGGACAAAGTGTGTGTTCAAAACGGCAACACCCATACGCAAAGACTGGGTCGTCCCCAAGGTGAGTCACTTCGTCTCGGTGCTCCCTTTGGCTCGTTGTGATGACATTTATCAGCTTGTATCACCTGCCACAGTGGAAGTGAGCAGACTTCAGGGATTCAGAGCATTCATATTCATATTCAGTAATCCCTGCTGTGCGCTTTGGGTTGCAGTTGGCTTTGATTTTAAATGCATTCAAACAACTTCCATTGAAATCTTATGGCTTTGCGTTTCAGGAATTCCACGAAGTCCCGTTTTTGAAAAAATTCAAGTTCAAGCGACAGGACAGGCTTTACCCCAAGGAGGCTCCCACCAAAACCCCCACAGCAGCCAAAGCCGAGCCGCTGGCGAGTGCATCCAGCGCTCCGACTGAGCGACTGCCAGAGGGAGCGCCTTCAGGTCAGAGAAACCAACAGGAACATGTTTACATCCTGCAAATGCATTCGAGTTTAGGTCATCTCTGTTTGTTGACGTTGTGATTGGATTCAGTCGATGCATTAAATCACTTGCATGTCTTTGATTCATGTATGTGACCCATCTGCACGAAATCAGTCGCTTCGAGATGCAGCCCGAATTAACACATGAATTTTGGGTTTATTACTTTGATCGGTCAGAGTGTAGTTACAGAGCGTAGTAATATTACGCTCCATATCGCTGTCAAATACCGTCAGCGTGCACGAGCGCTAACAACAGAAAGAAGCCGCTGAAATCGCTTGTGTGCAGCACGAGCAACGTGTCACAGCCAGCCAATCCTGTCCCGTGATTTGCGTCATGTGGTAGCAACATGCCACTTTTGTTTACGCATAATAGCCCGCTCAGTGGTTAGCAGCAAGAAGGTTGCCGGTTCGCATTCCGTTGAGGGGCGTCCCGGGATCTTTCTGCGTGGAGTCTCCATGTTCTCCCCGTGCAGCGTGGGTTCTCTCCGGGTTCTCCGGCTTCCTCCCACAGTCCACAAACATGCTGAGGTTAATTGGTGATTCTAAATTGTCCGTAGGTGTGAATGTGAGTGTGCTTGGTTGTCTGTCTCTAAGTGTAGCCCTGTGATAGACTGGTTACCTGTCCAGGTGAACCTGAGTCAGCTGGGATAGACTCCAGCCCCCTACGACCCCAGTGAGGATTTAGGTGTAGAGATGATGGATGGATAGAGAACAGCCCAAGGCACAATGCGACTGCTTTCGTGCAGATGGGTCACACATGTAAAACACTTCATGGGGAAATATCTTTTGAATAATTTGGCTGTTTCAGTGAACTTGTGAACAAAAGGTCGTTGTTATTTACTGTGTGTTTCTGTGCTGCAGACAAACCTCTTACTGGTATGAAACTGTTGGCTGTGGGCAAACTGAGCAAAAACAAAGACGACCTGAAGGCTGCTGTGGAGGCGCTCGGTGGAAAGATCACCGGTACAGCCAATAAGGCCTCTTTGTGCCTCAGCACTAAGAGTGAGTAATGATTCAATAAGTACATTTACATTGAAGAACAACCCTGAGAATCTCATATGTAACACCTCCAGCTTTTAACCTTGTCCTCATGGTTTCACAGAGGAGGTGGAGAAGATGAGCAAGAAGATGGAGGAAGTAAGAGACGCCGCCGTGCGCGTGGTCTCTGAGGATTTTCTCACCGACATCAAGTCGTCGGGCAAAGCTCTCCAGGAGCTGGTCTCCCTGCACGCCATCTCCCCCTGGGGGGCAGAAGTCAAAGTCGAAGCTCAGGCTCCGTCTGCGGCCTCCAAGTCTGGAGCGCCGGCCGCCAAGAGCATGGGGAGGGTGAAGGAGGAGGAAGGTAAAGACACTTAACGTTGCTGTGGTGTCTGCCTATGAATGTTTATTTGAGGTCACAGTTCAAGATAAGATGAACTTTGCTGATCCCTCACTGGAGAAATTCACATGTTTGATCAGCTAGATAACAAAAAATAAAGAGGAAAGAAATACAAAAGTAGAATTTAGTTAAAAATAAAGACTGTAGATCTTTCAACTGTGCAGATATGCTGAGATGAATAATGTACCCAAACTGTAGGACATGCATGCTGTGTAGAATTGCACAGTTAAGTTATAAAGACTCACATTTTGTTTTTGGAATTAAAAAGTTATAGAAAGAAAAACTTGTTAGTTGAAGAGCAATAAAGAGAAATGTTGCATCATATCATTGTTCTTATTACACAGCTGTGAGAGAAAATGTGAGGTATTTCCATTGTTATTAGTAGTAACTTTTGCTGGAACATAAGTTAGTGTTGAATATAAGACTATAAATAATTGAATGTTTTCCATTACAGGTGGTAGCAAAGCCAAGAAGATGAAACTGACGGTCAAAGGCGGAGCTGCTGTGGATCCAGACTCAGGTAGTCACGAGTCCCCTGCACTGAAAATGTCATGTCCCTTTCTATTATTTACCCCCTGACTTTGATTGATGATTCTAATTCTTTTCGTAGGTCTGGAGGACAGTGCCCATGTCCTGGAGCAGAATGGGAAGATGTACAGTGCTACACTGGGACTCGTGGACATTGTCAGAGGGACTAACTCGTACTATAAGCTGCAGCTGCTGGAGGATGACGTGCAGAAACGGTAATCTCCCTCTACGAGGCGTCTTGACTTGATGGCTGCAGTGCAGTTTCTGTCTGTGTACTAACTAATGCATCTCGGTCACTGCCCATCTGGCATGTGCTTGTAGGTACTGGGTGTTCAGGTCATGGGGCAGAGTGGGCACCACCATCGGAGGCAACAAGTTGGACAAATTCCATGACAAGAACTCTGCCCTGGATAATTTCCTGGGTGTTTACAAGGAGAAGACAGGCAACGACTGGGGCTGCTCCAACTTCATCAAGTATCCCAATAAGTTCTACCCTCTGGAGATTGACTACGGACAGGTACACACACAAACCTGCACAAACTAAGAAGTACATGTGCAGTACAGTGTGTTTTCTGTGCCTGACTGGGTCTGTGTGATGCTCGTGTTTCTGGCAGGATGAAGAGGCAGTGAAGAGGCTGACAGCCACCGCTGGCACCAAGTCCAAGCTGGCCAAGCCTGTCCAGGAGCTGATCAAGATGATCTTTGATGTAGAGAGCATGAAGAAGGCCATGGTGGAGTTTGAGGTAAGGCTTTTATTTTTGACTTGTTTGAAGATCACATTAGACAGATCTGTTTTTGTTATTGTTGTTGTTTTTAGCATATCTTAGTTTCTGTGCTTTCTTTCATCATTTTTTATAACAGCATTTTTTTTTCACATCTTTTGGAGATGTGGGAAACATTTGAGGATCAGTTTTTAAAGTTGAATAACACCTAAAAACGATTTCTGATCATACATTTGGGAGATTTTTAGATAAGTCCGATGCCATGGACTCTATTTTTAAGTATAATGATGATATGAGCATGCAGGTAATAGTTTTTCTGAATTGTCTCCCCCCTGCCTCGGTTACATTGGGTGTATCGTCATAACAAAGGATTTAACACCTCAGGCCTGCAGCAGCACAGCTTCATTTCCCCTTCCAGTATAGCTTTGATAAACAAAACCTTGTGATGTGACTGTTGAACTACTTGCGTTTTGTGGTATTTGATAGTTGTGTCAGGAGACTCTGTGTCTGTTTTTAAATGGGAAGTCTTTGTTATTTTTGTCTGGCAGTTTCCACAGACACAGCAGGCATTATCTCAAGTGTAGTAAACAAATTCAAAAAGAATGCCCCTCATCATTATAATCTAAATCTTTTGTTGAACATCATAAAGCAGCCTTTTTTTTAAATTTAGCAGCAAAATAGCAATCAAACCGTTTGTGTTTTTTCCCCAAATGACACATAGTGTAAATAAAACCTCACTCTGCAATATTTCTAGACTTAAAGAGCTCATTTTTCTTTTTCTGTCTTCAGATTGACCTCCAGAAGATGCCTCTCGGCAAGCTGAGTAAGAGGCAAATCCAGAGTGCCTACGCTCTGCTCACCCAAGTGCAGCAGGTCGGTTACCAACAAACCCAAAGTATTCATCCCATCATGTGTTGGGATTCCTCTTCATAGGACTTTGTTGTGCATTAAAACTAATTCCTGACATGTTGACAAGCAGTCTGTTTGTAGAAGTGGTTGGACAACATATCTGTAGTGTTGATCGTGCAACGCCTTCTCTGTATTTATCGTATTGTCCTTCCAGGCTGTGTCGGATAGCGTGCCTGAGGCGCAGATACTGGATCTCTCCAATCGCTTCTACACCCTGATTCCTCACGACTTCGGCATGAAGAAGCCTCCGCTGCTCAACACCCTGGACTACATTCAAGTAAGGACACACATGATCTGTCCCAATGTGCTGCTTCTTCTCACTGATGAGCTCGATGGAGAGTTTAAAAGTGTTGACAATCCCACACGTCCCTGTCCAGGCTAAAGTTCAGATGTTGGACAACCTGTTGGATATTGAAGTGGCGTACAGCTTGCTGAGAGGAGGGGCCCAGGACAACGAGAACGACCCCATCGATATCAACTATGAGAAACTCAAAACCAGGATTGAGGTAAAGAGCGTACCTCCTTAGCTAATGCTGGAAATAAAGTTTGGATGTTTTAGTGTGTACAGCTGTGCTTTTTTCTCTCCATTTATCGCACTCTGAGCTTTGGCGTGGAATAAAAATGAGCTTGTGGGATGTTTGTTGGTTTACAGGTTGTTGACAAGAGCTCGAATGAGGCCGAGGTCATCATACAATACGTTAAGAACACCCACGCTGCTACACACAATACGTACACACTGGAAGTGCAAGAAGTGAGTGTTTATTCAGAAAACTACTTTCATTTAATTCTGTTTCAAGGGCTTAGTTTGCATGAATATTCATTTATAATAGCAAGTTTTATCACCAACTTTATTCTCCTGTGGATGGCGCTATAGCTCACCTGGTTGAGCTGGCGATCCGTGTACTGGGGCTACAGTCCCCAACACGGAGGTCATAAGTTCGAATCCCGCTCAGGGCCCTTTTCTGCAGGTCCTTCCCCCATTCTTCTCCCCCACTTTCCTGTCTCTCTCTCAACTGCACTCTCGAATAAAGGCAAAAAAAAAAACTTAAAACTTTGTTCTCCTGTGTACCTTCGTTGTCCAGCACTCATCCCACTGTGTTCACTGTTTTCTGTCTTTTAGATCTTTAAAATTGTTCGAGAGGGAGAGCGCCAACGGTACCGTCCCTTCGAGGAGCTACACAACCGCCAGTTATTGTGGCACGGCTCTCGCGCCACCAACTACGCTGGTATTCTGTCTCAGGGTCTTCGTATTGCGCCTCCAGAAGCTCCAGTGGTGAGTCAGTTTGTGGCCGGGTTCAGTTCAAACCAATGGGGAAGTTTTTTGGCCTTTTCCCCTATTAAATACAAATCCAATACTTTGTAGGTCTTTCATATACTTTATTCCTGTATTTCACTGCTGTTTTGCTTCATTGTCTCCAGACCGGTTACATGTTTGGCAAAGGTGTGTACTTTGCTGACATGGTGTCCAAGAGTGCAAACTACTGTCACACCTCCCAGTCGGACCCCGTCGGCCTCATACTGCTGGCCGAGGTTGCTCTGGGCAACATGTGAGTGACAATTTGAACTTTTCAAA